GATAATTATGTATAATGGTATAAGATATTGTCAGTAATCTTTTTATTCCATTATTTTAATTGTTTTATGTATTATTATGACTAAACTGTATATTGACTAGGAAATAGCGTGAAAATGTCCTTAATATTATTCCATTATTATGACATTTAGTCACATTTATTAATAGTAGACGCAGTAAACATCGTGTTTGTACTAGGGATGCACCGAATAAGTATCCGATATCCGGTATTATCTGACACTTTTTACTATCTGATCGGATAGTCGGATATCTTTAGTATCCGGGAATGTATCTGAGGGGGATGTAAATGTTTTATAAAAATGTATGCATATACTCGTAATGCTATAATATCTTATATATTGTTGTAAAATTACAATTTTTTTTCTCTACAATTTTTTCTTTTAGAAGACATTGTTCCGAAATACGGTCGAATATTCTACTCGAAAAATTACCTTTCCGGATATCCGATGTTACATTCTTTTTGGATATTCGATATCTGGTAATTTTACGATTCGACGCATCCGTAATTCACACCATTAAAAAAATGGAGCTTTCTAAAAGAGCATTTTCGACATGTGTTGCTTCTGTTTTTTAATCAGAAGAAAACCTCGGTGACTGAAGGTCATACAATTTTGACAGAAACTTATGGTGCTGTTGCCCAATCAATTAAGACGTGTGAATATCGGTTTAGGCGATTCAAAAGTGGTGATTTCTTCAACGACAATGCTCATGTTGCATTATCAGTGAAGCAAACGTTATTAGAGCTGCAATGGGAAGTCTTATCGCACTCTGCGTATTCTCCAGACATTGCTCCTCTGACTATCACTTGTTCCGCTCGATGCAACATGCTCTAGAGGATACACACTTTAATAATTTCGAAGAAGTGCGAAAATTTGTTGAAAATTGAATCAACTCTTGCCAGGAAGATGGGAAAAAATTGTAAAGAACGAAGGAAAATATTTCGATTGAGGATTCGTTCATTATCTTGTTTAAATAAATCAGTTTTTGAAAAAAAAGAACTCTAACAAACTAAATCATACTCCACGTGGTAATATTTTAAGTATTCAAGATGATTCACGTTGCAACGTAAAAGGTTAGTTGTTCTGTAAATAAAAAAAATTTATACTTGGGTTTTTTTGTTTGTAGAACAATTAACATCTGCAATGAAACTTTGCATAAATTGTGAACACTTTCAAGAACTTATACAAAATAAATTGAAATTTTGTCATAGTGATTTAAATTTTAGTATTATGATAATAAAAATAATTAATAAAGTAATAATAAATAAATTATGAAAATGTATTATTCAATCAAAATAAAATATTATAAACACATTTTTTTCATATGCATGTGATTTATTTAAAATACAAATATTAATACGAAAGTAAAATATAAATATAAATATAAAAGTATAAAAGTATAGAGATTTATTTATAAAAAAATGAATTTGATACATCCTTAAATACGAATCACTCATTACATCTTCTTCAGGAATGAATTCTTGACACATTTTTCAGTCAATATTTTCGCAAACATCAATGCAGTAGAAACTCGTGTTTTAAGCAACCACTTAATATTACCGCCTGACTGTTTCTTCTCTGCTTTCTTTCTGTTTATAATTTCGCGCTTTTCCCTCGGTGCGCAATCCCGCGATAAACTTCAGCTTGAAAGATTCAGAAACTTCGTTTACACACTTCTGTGAGCTTCTTGTATAAAAGTTTCCTACAGATCGATATTTTGATCACTGGCTCGCGAAATCACGTTGGGTTCGAAAAACGTCGAGGGACGAAATGTCTTTCACTCATATCGTTCCCACGACATATATCGGTCTTATGCGATTCCCTCCCTTTGGTCCTTAAGTAATAGTTAAAAAGGAGGACACGTGTTAACGGCAGGTCCACGTGGCTTAACGAGGTCGTGCTCGTTATGCATGTTCATTAGAGCGTTCATTACGACCACTTGTCGCCCCCGGACAACCTCGGAATCCTTAATGGCTGAGAGGATTAATTTTTAATATATATATATCTCTCTCTCTCTCTTTTCTTTTCTAGTTTCCCTTTCCACGAGGAAGCACCCGCGATGAATTAATCTTTTTTTTTTTTTTCGTTTCTGCCGTCGGAGGAAAAAATTCATTAGCATGTCGCAATATGGCGCTATTCGGCGCAATAAGCGGCGCGCGCGATCCCTGATATCTGCGTTTCCTTTCCTTCTTTTTCCCTCTTTTTTAATAAAGTGATTTGCGTCTCTCTTTCTCTCTTTCTGTCTGATTTACGACTGGCGGAGAAACGTTTCTACGTTCGGAGGGAATTAAAACGCGATCGAAATGTGAAGTAAGATTTTTATTGTAATAATAATTTAACATGCATTTCTTAATAACAGTTATAAGAAAGTTTTATTGTATTTGTAGCACGAACAGATTGCTTCTCTTTTTTTTCTTATAATTATGTAGATATTACAAATTATGAATCACCTTGCGAGTTAAAATA